CGCGCACCCACCCCCGCCGAGGGAAGGCTCGGCCCGCCCAGGGACGTGGTGGGATGGAGGCCTGCCAGAAGCAGTCGGTAATGCCTCAGTCCCGACCAGCCTTAAGCCGGTAAGTAGTGCCCTCAAAGGGCAGAAGCTTAAGGAAATAACAGAGGGTTTACGGGCACGGGGCGAATGGCTGAGAGAAACGAGGCGATGGCTCTCAATTTACTGGAAAAACTTTGGCTTGGAGTAGTTTGCACTTCCTGAGGTTTCATAGCACTGAGTGTATTTACAGCGTGACAAGATGTAGATGTTGAATAGCTACCTTGGACCCCAGAGTCTTCCCGAGTCCTGCCGAAGGGCCTTGAAGGGCCTGTAGATACAGCCCCGGGAATCAGCACAGGGTCAGGAGCCCAGGACTCGGATTTGTCATCGTAATGCTGCTGCTGGCCCGCCAGCTGGCCTCAGAGAAATCTCCTTATCTCAATTCCACATCAAGGCATGTTGATAACAAAAAATTACTTTAGGTCTTTAATTAAACATGTCATGCTCCAAGTTGTTTGAATTACTTCTAGTAGACTTCAAAGGGGAGGAGTATGTAGAATTTTAATTAGTTTTTATTACAGAGCTCTTCTGTTCTGAGGCTTTTAAGTACCTTGTTACCTGAAAAAAATATATATTCAGGCAAGACGGCAAAACCTTGAAAAAGTCCTTTGAACGGACATTTTGCTTTAGGAAACATTTTATTATGTTAATGTAACGTTCGATTTTGATTCCTTAATTTAATCATAGATTGTTTTTTTGAATTTGTAAGGAGTTTAAGCAGAAGAAAGCTGATGACACAGGTTGAGAAATTTTTTTTAAGAATGATAGTTGCATGCAAGATGGAGAATCCTCCTCCTATTGATAATCCTTCTCTTGCTAGATTCTGTTTGGCAAATACCCACATACCTGCACATGCTTCTGACAACTTCTCTGTTTTATTTTCTATTTGAGCATGTACTTAATGCCTGTGAGATGTGGCTCACCATAACTGAAATAATGTTTAGAGGCAATTAAACCAGTGGGATGCTGGAATATGTCAACTGACAAAGCCAAAAATTCAGTCAAGGCCTACACAGACACAGCTGGGCCATAACTTCATCCTGATGCTGGGCTGCAGTCGGCAGAGAATAGGTCAGCCAGCCAGCTGATTATACTAAAACTGGGGCAGAACACCAGCTGTGGCATAGCCAGACCATACACAAGTCTGCCCTCCCTCTCCTTTCCTTCCTCATGACCAAATATACAAGCAAAACCGGGACATCTTGTAACTCTAGCCTCCTTTTTCATACTAATTTAATCATTATTGCTCATCAGTGATTACCATCTCAGGCAATGGAAGCATAAGGTCCACTAATGTGCCTGTTTCCTAGTAGCAGGCAGTTCGAACCTAAAATCATGATGTTCACCTTGTATTTGTTTGCCTTTTGCACTCTTAGTATAATTACCTATTTTATTGTGTTAAGTATGCATCTTGTAAGGAACGTGCTTTCCCTGAAAGTTGCTTTACTGGTGAAATATTAATAAACTATGGAGGTTTTTCAAGATTTAACGTCCAATGAACTTGATGGCTGATCAAAAAGATTTAGGGTCCATTATGTCAGGTAATTTCCGCATAAAGGCATTTTAAGTAGAAAGTACTCATGTACCAATAACAAACAGCATCATTTTCAAATCAGTTGTAATACCAGTTGTAATATACAAAACTGTCTTACTATGGCAAAAACACCGTGTCTGATATCCATGGAATGTTATTTCGGAACACCTTTAGGAAAATCTGATAATAGGGAATAGTGCAGATTATATTGTTATCTTAAGTTTTTAAATGGGATGTTTTTATATTTTTTTTACCTAGCGCACTCTAAAGTCTCACAAGCGCTAGTATGTAAAGCAGGAATATCCTGGGAAACAATTCCTCTGGTTTCACTGGTATCCACTGGTATTAAATTTAGCAGATCTAATTTCATAGGCTTTCTTGCATGGGGGGTGGAAATGGAATGGCTGGCATATACACAGCTGTTTGCACCCTCAAACACAAGCAGATTACCAGGGCTGTCGGTAGAGAAACAGTTGTGTGGTTGTAGCACTGTTCATGACTGTTCTTAGCATCTGAACAGTCCTTTGGGACCAAAGACGGACAAGCGCAAGTGCAAGTTAAGGCAAACATTATTCTCTACTCCAGTTGCTGTACTTTTCCACACAGTCCTGGGGTATGTAAGGCACCTCTTCCCCCTAAGAAGGATGACATTCCTTACCCAAGGGTCAGCATATTCACCCTATTCGTGGCAATTTTTTTTAACTTCCTTTCAGTAGAGTAGTTCAATATCATGAGTAGTTCAATAGAGTAGTTCATGACAAAGCTGAAGTCATCTCATGCAAAATTCCAAGAGCAGATGAGTCTTTAATTGACCCAGTTATCAGGACTGGAGGTAGCAGGAGGTTCTAAGGATGAACACTCAGAAACTCTGGGAGCAAAGATCAAGGGTGCAAAGGGATGTTTTACCCCCTTCCAGTTTTCTACTAAGAAACGCAAAAGCTAAGCACTGTGAGCGTGCCTGTATCTGCTCTCTTAAAGCTATAGCTAACTTGCTGGAGATCGCGCAAGTGAATATAGAAAATGTCTTACAGCCAAACTAGATGTAAGGTTATCCATAAAGCATGTTTCATTTCTTCATCTCTGACTTAGATGACTTCTTTTTTCAATATATTCTGTTAAAATGCAGAGCTCATCTCACTTGTACTTAAAATTTGTATAGCGTTACGAGTGATTTCAGAAAGAATGGAAAATCTGAGAAAATCTATTACTCGGGAATGCCAATCCTAAACCAAGCATACTAGTTTATTCCATTACTGTAGTAAAAGCGTTCCAGCACAAGGGCATTTTACATTCAGCTGGGCTCTGGCATTGTGCTTCAAGGGCCAGTATGTAGGCTGGGAATACAGGAGATTTTAGTTTGGAGAAAAGCCTTCCCATAGCAAGAATTAGCTAGAGATATGCGTGACACTCAGTAAGATGTAAGAGAGAAGGCTGGATGGAGAGTCAGAGGTCCCCTCCAGATTAAATGACTTAAAGAAAAGTATTTTTGCTAAAAAATTAAGAACTTGACTGCCTTTCATGCCTCTTGTATGCCAGAACATACAATTGTTAACCTAATAGACCCCAAAAACTTTTGTATTTCAGGTTGTTTTCAAAAACAGATTGTGCTGTATTGAAAAATAAAGCCTTCTGAAGTGATGCAAAAGTTACATCAAGTGAAACACTGTAAGCTTGTTGCACTGACAATAATTCTTTGTGGGATCGTATTTCAGCAATGTGGAGCTTACTTCAACATTTTTCTTTCCACTTCAGTTACTGCTTATGAGAAAAAGAAAACATTAGTTTGTTAAAGAAAAAAGATTCAAGTCACTAGATATATAGAAATGATTGTAAAATTAGCTTTCTGGGTTTTTTTGTGTGTGATTAGAATACTTGTCAATAGAACGACTTCATTACTTTTTGTCACATCATTGCATAAATTATTTTGCACATACAGATCAGTGCAGATGACATCACTGTAATAATTAATTTCAGATTAAAAACAAGGTCCACCATTATTTCACAATTTAATTTGGCTTACATGCCATCCTGTGAGTTGGAGATGATTATACTAAGTCAGTTCTGGCTTTAATTAAATTAACATGTAACATGCATCTGGTAAAAGCTTTGTCCCCGTGCAGATGTAGTATCTACTATATCAAACAAATTGTTAAAACCTCAAGTATCAAAAAATTAAGAGATTTCACTGAGCATGTCTACTGCTTCTTCAACTGGCTTATTTCAAAATGACATTCTAAAGCTTTTAGATTGCTTAGCTCATACGATATCAATGAATAGGCAGACAACGAATCATATAAAAAGTAAATAGATTATTCGCTGTATAGTTTTCCAAGTATTGTGTCCAAAATGTGAATAAATGTCAAATCTAGGAAATGTGGGTTTATGATTATAGCACCATTATGAAGATTGACTAAAAATAAAAAATATAGCTACCTTCACTCAAAACAATATTCCAACAAATCAAAGCAGATCAGAAAACTAGGTTACAGATAGTATTAACAACTGGAAATGTTCTACTTCCAACAGACGCATAATGGATTACATGTCTTATGCAAACTGAAATTATGGTTCTAATTCTGCAGCTTTTAATTACATGAATAGTCTTCACACATGTAATTTCTCACTAAACCGAGTAGTGATGGCTTATATGAGTAATGATTCAGACCTCTCCCTTTAGGACCCAGAA